TTTAATCTGATTTATCATGAGAAATGAAAAAAAAATCTTTTCCAAAATAATTCTATTGAAAGTAATTCTTGATGTAATTATGCCATTTTTCAATATGAAATAATTCATATGTATGTGAGAGTTTAAATTTTACTATATTTGATTAACGGTACTTCATGAATAGTTTTATAGTTTGTGAATACGATCAATTCAAATAATCATGAACAATTAGGTAGTTTACATTCGAATCTTGAGAAAATTACTTTTGTTTACGATATATGTGATTAATATAGACTGACAAGTAATAACCGATTAAAATTCATGAAAAGATAATAATAAATTAGAAGTGATTAAAAAGTAAAAATAGAATAAAATTGATGAACAGGTAATCATAGATTAAAATAGACTGACAAGTAATAATAGGTTAAAATCAATGAATAGATAATATATATGGGGGTTGAAACAGTTCACAAAGAACTAAACTCTAATTAGGTTCGTTTTTTATTTTGTGATTGAAAACTGGAGTAAAATGACATTCGTATAATCCAAATTTTTTTAGATTAATGGATTATAATCGATTTTTAATAACAAAAAAAGAAAAAAAATCGATAATAATTAGATTTATACGAATAAATAAGAAATCTTGTTTTATTTTAAGAGTATTAATTGAACAAACCGAACCTGATTGTGTTCTCGTTCTTACATCTACTCGATATTTTATTGCTTGGTAAAAATTTTTGATTTTGATTTTTTTATTTAAAATAAAATATTTTATATTTAGTTATGATGAAACATTTCAAAAAGTTGTTTCATTTAAAGAAACTCCATTAACATCTATAAATAGTATTGAAGTGGGTTCGTTGAATTTTATTTTTTTAAATTAAATAAAAAATCTAAATGTCTTTGATAAAAAAAACTAAAAATAATTTTTAGGTGAAAATCCTTTATCACCACCAGGTAGTTCATGGACACTACGTATTCATTTTACGAAAGAAGAACAAACAACTGGTTATTATCATCAATTTCGTGGTACCAATGTTCAAGTTTTTAATACAACAGTTATGTTTCTTAAAGATATTGAACAAATTAATGGTAATTTATTTCGTTCGTTGTTTTTTTTTATTCTTATCAATTTTATAAAAATTAATTTAGATTATATGAGAACAATTGGTCAAATGATTGTATCAATTGTTAATGCTTTTGTAGAAAAATCACTTGAACTCAAAGAAAAAAAATTAAATAGGTAATAAACGTATATATATATATATTTCTTTTTGCTCTAATCAAATTGAAAACTTAAAGATAATTTAAACTATTATAGTAGTAATTTAATTTTGTAAGTAAATATTGATTTCATTGATTGATAATTGATTTGTTTGATTTCTTTTTCTATTTCTATTTCTATAATACATATTTTCTTTTTTTGATAATTCTATATAGAATGAACAGTTTACCAGATGATGTTGAACCATTTCAAAAACGAATGAGTTTTTCTGCAACAGATATGCCACCACTTGCTACAATAAGTGATGTTAAAACATCAAATAGTAAAGCAACAATTAATAAAATAAAAGATTTTGGTTCACGATTCTCATCGATGGTTTCTCGACAAGCAGTTCCTACAATTAACAAATTAACAACACAAGGTTTTTTTTTTTTTGTTGTTTTTTAAAGTAAAATTTTTTTTTTTTAATTTTATTTGTTAGCAAAACAATTACCAATAAATGAAAAAGTAACATCATTATTAAAAGTTATTGGTGAAAGTCCATCATTAATTCTATCTGGTACAATAAAAATTGAAGGAGATAATGATCGTGCATCACCAACATTTGAAAATAATAGAAAAAAAATATTACAAGAAAAATTTGATGAACGAAAAAAAGATTTATCTTCTATACAATGTCAAACAAAATGTTTTCTTTTGTCTTCTCCTGATCTCACTCTCATTTATACACCTAATAATGAACAGAAATAATTATCGTTTATGTTTTGTTTTGTTTTTTTCTTATTATTATAATAAAATCAATTATTCAGAGATAAATCTTGATAATTTTATGTTAAAATATCAAAAAAAACGTCATGCACTTGTACTTTTATCACTAACAGAACAAAAAAAAAACACATTTTTCTACGTGCTTTCAAATAATAGAATGACATTCTTTGTAAAATAAACTAGTAAAACAGTTGTTAAGTATTACTTTCGTTGGATAAAAACATGAACCTGTCAGCAAATTATACAAGAATTATTCTTGAACATATGTGCACTTAATGTCAAAAACAAAATTAATTTAATAATAACTCTTCAAAATCAATCGGCACTTTCAATATATATAGTATGATTGTTGTTGTAAAATAAATAATAAAAACCTTATCTACAAAAGAATAAAAATCATCACAGTCGAAAATATTTTCTTGAATCATTGAGTAAACAACAAATTATACTCAAGAGACAATAAAATAACATGACATTTATTTTAATCCTGTAAATGTTAAACTGATCTAATCATATAGAAAAAATTTCGATCATAACAGAATGGAATATCTTATCAATCTATGAATAACGTCAGGCAAAGAATATAAATAATGAAATGAACAATGCTTAAATACTTACAAAGAAAACTATAAAGCGTTTGCTTGCATTGAAACATTGTCTAATAAAAAGAAAAAATAAGTAAAGTTATTCATTTGGAAAAACTCCTTTCACATTAATTAAAAAGAATAATAAAATTATGCCATTAAGACCAAATATATTACCCACGAACATTCTGTTTCTCTATTGGAAAACAAAAGACTATAGTTCTAAACGACAATATGAGCGTAACACGGGTTCCATAAATCTCTATTTTTCTGATGAAGTATCAATTACTGTCAAAAAAAAATCAAGAAAATTCAACAACTTTTAATATTTAAAAGCGAATGTTCTCGTTTGTACTTGATATTGATTACATAAAAAAGAAAAAGAAAATTTAAATCCAATTGCACTCAAATGACAAATTTTATACATGTTTGGGTCATGATATACTGAGCAGGTACATTTCTAGAAAAGACAACAGATCTGCATTCATATGATAATTTTAATAGAGTAAGTTATTAATAGAAATATGACACATTAGTTGAACAAATATATGCTATATTGTTCGTTCTTAAGAATAATTATGATACTGAATAAAAAATTCTAATTAATCTATAGAATTTATATAAAACAATTATTGTATTGATCTATTCATTGCTAAGAGAATTACAATAAAATCTCGCGAGATTTTTCTTTTTCTTTTTGAAGAAAAATGGAGTAAAAATAGCACTATTGTTCCTTTTAAGTAATTCTATCGTTAAAAGATATATTTATAGTTGAAAGTTAATTTAGTTAATGTTCGATCTTATTATTATTATAATCTAGTACTATAAGCTTGTTTAAAGGTAGACTTCTACTAAATCATTTGAAAAAAAAACCTAATAAACCACTTGTTCATTACTACAGTATAGTAAACAACATTGTACTTCGTTATATAATGACAATATATAAGTGTGTACAATCAAAAAATAGCATTTTAATAATTGAAAGAGAGATAGATCTATTATAATCAGTATCTGTAAAGTCATTTTGTCTTGAATCACCATAGCGTGTTTATATTATTATCAGTAATAATTAATCTATTATTTTTACTTGCTTATTGTTGTTCTATTAGTGAACGCATTACACCCACACATATATATTTATAGAATTTTTTTCCTCGGATTCTGAAAACTTTTAATTTGAAAATTTTGTCTTACAATATTTTGTGAACTCAGTTCAAAGAGCACCTTAATTAGTAATACTAGTATAAAAATGAAAACAAATAAGTAAATGTATAGATGTTTATGATATCCGGTTTTTCTTTAATGTTATTTAATGTCGTGTGAAGCAAATTGAAAGCTATAGTTAACCCTATGTATATTATCTAGACGATAAATTGTATTTGATCATTAAGCATGACTGATGTACGGCAAGTAATACATTAGTAATTACGAAGAAAAACGGAAGACACTATTAGTTGTGCTCATTTCTCAAACAGAAAAGAAAAGACAAACCCAGATACAAATATAAAACAGCACGTTCATTGCAAATGCATCCAGACAGATAGACGATGGCAAGTGGTTACCTCGTTTCTTTTTCTACTGTCATTTACTTGAGAAACAATTTTTTTTTTTTTGTTAACTGTTGACAGAATATATATTCATCAAAGATTTGATGTCTTTTTCAGAAGAAAAATAGTCTGAAGTGAGTAAAATAATTGTTTCTTATTCAAATGAGACAAAAAGAAAGATTGACACTAATAAGAGGATCATTTCTGACAGTAAACATAGATCGCGATTACTCAAATAGATGTCTAAGACGTAGTGTAAAATTCTTTAAATCTCATAACTGATCATAATTCATTTATTCAACAAAAAAGAATAAGTAATAGATGATTCTATCGAATGTCGAATACAATAATTTCAATGACTTTTTAAAGTTTCTATCATTGCTAGTAAAAATTCAAAATTCAATACGTGACTAAAACAGATGTATATTGAACTTGTCAAGGTAAAAAAAGTTCTCATCATAAGATAAATCGAATTCTTTTATTCTAAAAAAACATCACGATATAAAACATGACGCAAACCAGACCCATCATTTCTAAAAATATTATTATTGTTTTATTAATATACATCAATCGTAGGAAAAATCAAACAAATAACATTTAATCAAAATATTGATTTATGAACCTTTGCCTTTTTTTTTTTGTTCAACTTTCTCCAATGAAGTTCAGAATAAATAGATTCGTTTGAAGATTCATTCTAAATTTACTATGACTCTAATCATAGTATGCAGTTCACGAACTATTTTATATTAAACCTTTTTGTTCTGACAAGGAATAAATTATCGAACATGAAAATTTTCAGGAAACTTTTTTAAAGAAAAAAATACAAGTTATTAATGTGTAAGTCGGTATGATAATTTTTGCTATATTCCATAGAAAAAAGAATTATTCGATGTCAATGAATATTAGTTTTTTTTTATAGCGATCGAGAAATTTATTATCTATATGATCTTGAGGGTATGATGACTTTTTTTATGCCTATAGGTCTTTTTTATAGATAACTATTTACATTAAATTATACAAACGAAGAGCCTTTTATTATTTTCTATTCCTAGGAAAATAGATGAATATCTATATATATATATATTTTTTTTTTTTTATTTATTTTATTCTCGATCGATTACAACTTCTATAGTTCAAAATGAGAGAACTTATTTATCATAAAAAAAAAGAACTAGACGATGCATGTATATCATTCTGTGTACGTGTCACTTTCAATTAGAGATTTATTTTGCACTATCGAACTTAGAAAAGAACTCGGCACGATCAGAGATAAAAAGCTTATACGCAAATAACTATTTGCATGTATATGATCTGTATTTGTTATTAGAGAAGAAAATTTTTTTTTGATTGTGAATATATAAATATTAGTCTGTTCGTTTTTGTCTTCTATATCAATAGCATGAATGAGCAACAAATGAAATATTTAGCCCAGGCTCTATTGGGAATATGCTTCTTCTTGTTCACTATACTTCCTAAATGAATGAAGTTTCCTAATGTCTATATTATTTTTGTAAAAAAAAAAAACTAAGACAAAACATCTGTCGTATAATCCATAATAAAATTGTTTTGTATTCAAAACAACGAAGACTTAATAGACATGTATATATATATGACAGATTGAATTAATATTATGTTTTTGTGGCAAGTACTCTTTTATTTAATCAAAAGAATTTTATTGTTCAATATATAGAAATGATTATCTTTGTTAGTTAGACTTAGAGTGTATTGAGAATTTTTCTCTTTCTTTTCCTCTGAATAGTGAAGAGTCGATGAAATAGAGATTTGTTTTGATGAACAAGAACAGGAAATCTAATCCAGAATGCCGAGAACAGATGCATACAAATATTTTATGCATCAATAAGTTAAATTTCTGTTTTTTTTCTAGATGAAAATATAAAATGGCAACAAAATCATGTGGAACATTGATCTATCGAAATTCTTCAATATTATCTTCACATTCAAATTATTCACATATAAGTGATGCTGAATGGATAACAAATAGTATATCATTAATTATATTTATACTTGCATTTATTGGAAATACAGCTGCACTTATTGTTATGTTTGGACCGAGAGGTTCAATACGATTAACAAATAATAAATATTTAGCTAATTTAGCATGTGCAGATTTATTACGTGCATGTTTCATGCCTTTTACTATAATAGCAAGAATGAAAAAAAATTTTATATTTGGAAAGATGATTTGTAAAATTTTACCAATTGTTCAAGGTAAAATTTTATTTATTTTTTATATCATTAAAGATGAATTATAGAATAAGGTTTTATTTTTTCTGAACTTAAGAAAAAATATTGGAAAATTGTATTATTTCCTAGACTATAAATGATAAGAAACAGAGAGAATTATTTTTTTTTTTTCATTATCTGCATATCTATGATGTGTAAGTAAAAAAGATTATTTTCATTTGATAATTAATGAAATAGAATTTATTTGAGACAGGTTACAATTATAAATCAAAGTTTCTTTTAAAAATTCATTTTCATACTTATTTTATCTACACTTCATTGGTTATGATTGAATCTTTTAGATTTATAAGTTAATAAATTCATATCTGTATAAGATTGTCAAACTCATAATGGAAGATCATAGACTAGTACTAGATTTTCATATAACAGACGTTGAATGACACATAGTACTTTCATAAGATGCAAAAAAATAATAATAGCAAGAATGTTCTTTTAAGTCAATAAAGACTAATATCGTGTACCTCTAGTTAAAATCAGTCTTGTAGAAAACATGTGCTTAATTATAATTTCAATGTGCATGATATTTAACAAGAATAGTAATTATTTATTATAACCGAGATGAAGATAATTTATTTAATATATAGTTACCGTTAAAAACGCACTAGAGATACATTTTATCTTTCAAACATCAAAGAAAATAATTGTTTCGGAAGAAAATTTTTTTCATTTTCTTAGTCTATAGATATTAGACAACATGCAAAAACTTCATTGTCTCTTATTTATTTTGATCATGAAATAATCCTTAGAAAAAAAAAAAAACAGAATCTATTATAATGTTCATAAAGAGACTATCAATTCACATTATAATTAGATACTTATTTGTAACTCATTCTTCATATAATATACAAGAACATAATGTATATGTTTAAAAAAAAGTCATATCGAATTTTCAATGGAAAAAGCTTTGATATAATGTGTCTGATCTAGTAGAATATAAATGATTTGTATGGTTATAAATAACTAATCAAATAGAAATAAATCTATAAAAATGAAAAAGCTAGATAAATAAATGAAAATGAATCTAACAAAAAAAAAAACAAAATATTTTATTGCTTTCTTTTTCAGGTTTAAGTGTAGCTGTGGATGTTTTTACTCTTGTTTGTATAAGTGTTGAACGTTATTTAGCTATATGTCGTCCATTACTTATATTAAAACTTCAATCTATTCGATTTTCTAATCTTCTCAATGCTTTTATTTTATTTTTAATATGGTTATTAAGTCTTTTAATTGCTTTACCAAATCTATATATGTATAATTTATGTTCATTACCTAAACCTGGCCGTTTTAAATGTGAAAAAACATCACCAGATGAATTTGATGAAAAACTTTATATGATTACTTTAGATGGTAAGAATTCTTCTAAGACAAACAATTTAGATTTTTAGAAAAAAAAAAAAAAAAAAATGAATATTTTATTTAGCTTTTTATTTTGTAATACCAATGGTTGTCATGATTGTTCTTTATGCATTAATTATTCGAAAAATGTATAGAAATAGTACAGCCGTACAAATGAGATCATTTAAAAGTAATTATTTTATTTATTAAAATAAAAAATAAAAAAAAAATTTAATTTATTTCAGATAATATACAAAAAGGCAAAATTTGTTTAAATTCTTCATCCCCTAAATATATTCCATTCAATAAACTTTCTAAATTTCGATTAGTTAATTCTGATTTAACTGTAAATAAAAGAAGAGAATCATCTATGTTGGAAAAATTTGGTCAACGATTATCATTTCATAGTAACAGTAAATCAAAATCAGGTTTAAGTGAGGATGAACAAATACCAAATTCTGAATTAAATATTTCCATAAAAAAACATCAATTTAATCGAACATATACAATAACTAGACTTCCATCTCAAAATAATAATGATAATACAACAAAACAAGATTTTCATCGTTTAAGTTCTCGAAAAAGTAGGACTCCACGTCGTGGTTCATCAACACAAGGTTTATGTCGTACGGATCGTAATCGACGTAAAGCACTTAAACTTTTAATAACATTAATTATGGAATTTTTTATTTGTTGGACACCATTATTTATTTATCATACAATTGGAACATTTGATAAAAAATTTTATCGTTCAACACCAAATATTTATGTAGATTTAATACTTCTTTTTTCATTTGCATCAGCATCATGCAATCCATTAACATATTATTTTATGTCTAAACGTTATCGATCAGCTTTATATGCTTATTTACAATGCTGTTATTTGAATGAAAATGAACAAAAATTTATTAATCAAAATAATCATCAACCACATCCTATACATAAACCTTTACGTTCAAATGAAAAAAAAAATTCTCCTGAATTAAAACACAAAACACAATTAAAAATTGATACTCATAATGATCCTCGATTAAGATCTAAAACATGCTAGATGATATTATCATCAATGCATCATTATTTTTCTTTTTATTATTATTGTCACACTATCGTTTACTTGTATTCTATCGAGATTTCGTTCGGTTCTGTTTCCATGCATCGTTATTTATGTTTCTTTGTCTAGTATATTTAATTATATTCATTCTCAATGCTTTTACTCTCTATGTGAATTATAAATGTTCTTTTTTTCGTATTTTCTAATGAGTTCTTTATCTTTTCGTACTCCTGTAAACATATATAAATATGTTCATTTTTGGATGTGACGATACACAAAAAAAAAATTACATTCGATATTTGATTGTTGTTTCAATCTTTTATTTTAATTTTAAACTATTCTTGTTATATGATTGAATAAAGTAAATATAGTACGCTGGTGTATAAGACCACAGAATAGCTTCTTAATGTTTTAGTGTTTACGTGTTAAATTTCATATAAAGTCTGACTGAACTGCATGAACTTAGTTTGATTTTTCTTTTAGATAAAGCTTAATCTTCAAAATTCAATTCTCAAAGAAGATCTTCATGCAAATCTCTGTTCATTTTGCTAATCTGTCGTGTAAAGTAGTCTTTATCTAGAATATGACAACTACATAAAGTCTTCGATAACACAATCTAAAAGTAATATCTTATTTTATTTTTACGAAGATAATCATCTCTTTCGATTTAATCTTAGTTAACTTATACTCCAAAGATGAATTTTCTAGAATGTCTTACATATGAATTATAAAGTTTATTTTTGTAATATATTGTTTCTCTCAAGGAATGTATAAGAAGAGACGAACTGTCATCGCAGTACTGATTATCATTAAAAGTTAAAACATATTTTTAATATCTGTTATAGAATTCTTCTTCAAATAAAAAGTGCAATTTCACAATAAGATTCAACACAAAAAAGTGATTAGAACTATGTGTCCTTCAAAATTGTACGGTAGCTTTTATGTTCACCTAAAAAATCCAGTTTGAATTCTCCTCAGAGATGCATCAAAAACTCAATTCATTCAAAACGCCATTCTGACTACACTAAACAGGCTCTGAATTTTTATTACTTTAATGAAGATCATGGAAGAACATGCATAAATAATTTTAAAAAAAAAGGGTTTTGAATGCTTCTACTTTGTCGGGTGTTCCTCAGGAGAACACAAACTAAAAATTTTGGAACGAAAATAAAAGTTATGGCAAGATTTTGAAAGATACACAGATCTAGCCTTGAGAGGGAGCGAGAATGTATTGCAATAGTGCACTGCGTAATTCATAAATCATACTAGTGGCGTAGCCAGGGGTAGGGCCATTGGGCAATTGCCCATGGATTTATTGAGTTATAGAGTACATGAACAGTTATTACCCATATATATTTTTGAAATCATAACGGTTGTCCTTAGCTGCCCGTAACTCAAAATAGTTCGGCTGATGAATTGCTCATGACTCAAAAATTCCTGGCTACGCCACTGGTTCATACCTTCTAGAAAGTACATCTTTGGAGTGGAAGTAAAGTATGACTGAATCGACAGAAATTATTGTTTTGTTGAGGATAGAATAAGTTATTAGAATTTAGATTGCGATATTGAAGAACTTATTTTGTTGTCGTTTTCTAAATGAGAAGACTGTTTCAAATGGTGACTGAGCAGAAGGATAACGATTGATATGCTGATGTTCTATGAGGATTGTATTTTGAAGTCCAATTCTTATTTAGAAAAAAATTCAGCTGAAGACACTCAATCAGATTATAGATAAAATCTTAAGCTTAAACACTAAAACGTCTGTGAACTATTTAGTATTGTTATATAATCCGTCATAAAAAAAATTTCTTGGATTTTTGTTTCTTTTTTAATTTATAAATCAAAATATGAATAAAACTGATTAGAAAAAGAACTTAAAATCGACAAATGAAGCTTTTACATTTGTCAATATTAGCATTAATTTTGACTAGCTAAATAAAGAAGGCGTTATTTTCATCGAAAATGACATATTTTTATTGTTATGAATAAATTCTCCACGAACTGTTGCATAAAATAAATACTCTGGAATATCCAATAACTGTAGAAGTTTACGCACATTAAGATAATTGATGTCTAAGGTCATGTTATATTTATCTATTTTTCAATAGAAAAAAAAAACAAGTAGTCAACAGAGTCTAATGCATGTCATTCGGTAACAGTTAGTTGATGAATATTCTTTTGTGAAAATGTCAGATTTATAGAGATAAGAAAAACAAACAAGAGAATTAGTCTGAATCCTAATCGTAAACATAAGCCGAATTAGCGACTTTCATTCTTGATCGACCATCATGTGAAATAAATGCTATCATAATTAATTAGCCTAATATACTCTTTTTCAACCAGAAGAAATTAACGAAGAGTAATTCTTATCACGATAAAAATCGATTTATTTTTTTCTTCATATAAATAAAAAATTCTAATATGACATTGATCAACATGATATTTTAGTTATATTTATATAATAATTCGTGTTCAAGTCACGAAAAAAAAAACAATCATTAAAGATAAACAATTATTAATTATCTTACGAAGGAAGTCTTCTGATTGGTAATCTGTGTTTAAACTCATATTTTGATAATTATTAGGATTCATAGTGCTGATAAAAGTTCTACAAGGATTTTTTTTTGCCATTACCACGTTCCTCTCGACTTGTGATCATTCTACTGAAAACAAAAATATGTTCTTTTTAGTATACAATATCTTGAAAAAAAAATCATTCATTTTTGCTCAAATTTCGAGCGTATTTCCAGATAAAATTTTACACTAAAATTCTTTGATTCAGTTGTCTTCGTAATGTTTTCCAATAGACAGACTATTCAGTAAGATGATTGTATACCCGTGTGAAAAAAATAAGGGGAATAATCAGATTAAAATCGATTAAAAATCGATTAAAAGTTCAAGAAAATAATTGATTATAATCGATGAAAATCGAAGGTAATCGATTGAAGGTTTTACGATTTCCTGTGGCGAAAAATCGATTAAAGGTGTATGATTATAATCGATTTTTAATCATTTTTTAATCTGATTATTCCCCTTATTTTTTTTTCACATGGGTAATTACGGAAGAAAGAGCTAGTGGCACAAATTCTTTTAGAACTTTTATCTGCAACATGGAAGATGATTAGAAATATTAATGAATGAATCATAAAGAATAGACTTAACAGTATTTCGATAGTATTAAAACATGAAGAAGCATCTTTTAATTATCTACAGTTTTACATATTTCGACTGATTCGATTAAGATTCGTTATTTTGAAAACGACAATTAAATAGATATGTCTAAAATCCACAGCTAACAAAAAAGACTTATTGTCAAGTTTTGTTCTACGCGTCTTAACCTTTGAATAAGTGTTTTTTTCAATCTCTGAATAAAAATTCTTGTTAATATACGAAAATGTATGCTAATCTCATGTCACACATTCGTTTTCATTGCAGTCGACGTACCACGGTACGCATAAGAAGCACTGGTAACACTTATACTTGTCGATTTCAGATGTAAACAATTACAGAGAATGTTTTCTATCTAATTAAAATTACTTATTAGAAATAATTCAAAATGACCATCGAAGAATAGTTTCAGAATTTATTAATACAGACAGTTTAGACACATCAATGTAATGGTAGTGCCTCGAAATCAAGTCAATCCTATCAATTTTAATAGATTCCTAAAATATTCATCCATTCAAATATAATACACTATGATACAGCACTTTCAAAAAGTACTGGCAGTATTTGTTCGGTTCGAAATACATGAAATCCTATTGCTATTGATATGTCAAATTGTTGGTGTTATTTTATCTCAGTATCTTGAAATCTTCATATACTTAAACGAACACATATCATGGTTGTAGAATTAATACGTTACAGAAAACATGTTTACATACTGAATGTTTATCAATCATCATCTTTCGACATTACTGAAGATCCTCACTAATCCGAAAGAAACGATAATGGTAATTACAGATACGAATAGCATTAATTTTCATGTATTAACAAAAATATTTATTTAGAGATAAAGAAATCAACTTTGAAACTTTGAGAATATTTCATTAGGCAAATGTTTTGTATCATTTGTTGATTCAAATTGATTCAAAGATCAAAAAAAAAACTTGCTCTAGAGTTAAATGTGTTGAATAATAATTAATAAAAAGCGTCTCTTCATAAGTTGTAGATTTTAGACATATTTATTTAGTTTTCGTTTCCAAAATAACGAATCCTAATCGAATCAATTGAAACATATAAGATTGTAGATAATTAAAAGATGCATCTAGAAAAACAAAATTTGCTTCTTTATGTTTTAATACAATCGAAATATGTACAATGTACTGAGAGAGATGCATTTTTTATAACCTATGTATTTAAATTATAATTTTATTTCTTAACAGGATCAGTCAAACCGAAGATTATGTGATTCACACATTCATATGATAAATCAATGAAAATTTTTTTTTTCTTTTTCTATTGAAAAAATTTGATTAAAGACAATTTATTAATTATTTATGTAAATAAAAACCGCCACTCTTTATTAATATTTTTTTTGTTTGTTATCGGAAACAATGTTACTATTGAATCTATCTATAATTAATTAATTGATTAACATATGAAAATATTTGTAAATAATTAAAGAAAAATGAATTCTTCGAACGAATTTAATCAAATTGATGAGAATTCTATTGTAATTAATTATGAAAAAATATACAAAAATAAAATTGAAGATGATTTATATGATGTTAAAGAAATGATGGATGATAAACATGAAAAAAAATTGAATATATCAACAGATTCATATCAAACATTTAAACCTTTAATGAACAATGATCGTTTAGATCAAATTCATCAAACAATTCTTCATGTTTCTCAATGTAATCTTATCACAGATAATGGTGATATTATTCATTGTCTGAAGAATAATAGTGAAGATTTTCAAAAATCAAAACTCATCATTCGTCAATCAATTGATTCTTTTTCAAAATATGAAGATGATGGAATTGTCGAACCTAATACAACACCAGAAAATTCTCTAACAATAAATGAACATCGAAATTATGTTACGAATAATAATGAAGAAGAAGAAGAACAAAAAATAGCAATGAAATTTCATAATGATCATCATCTTAAAACAAAATATAATTTCATAACTGAACATCCTTTAACACATGTTGATAGTCAACATTCAATATTAATTGAAAGAATATCAAATGAAGAAAACGACAATGATCAGTTTCACTTGATACATTTAGAAAAGATCAATGAAGAACAAAATGAAAAATCTGATTTGAAAAATTTAAATGCATATGAATCTTGTCTTTCTTCATTGTTAATACATAATAAATCACAAGAAAATGAATTCAATATTATTCCAATTACCGAATATTCTTATAAAAATAATCAAAGTATGAAAATATTATCTCTAATTTTGAATTAATATTATTTCTATTAGATTCTATTAATTATTTATTGATGTGTCATATCTCTCTTGTTAACATTGAGTATTGTACTACTTCAAAATATTTTATAATTCCTCAATTAATTGAAAATCATATTGAATCTTTCGATTGTTTTCAACAATATTGGTCACCACAATTATATTTAACAAAATTGATTAATTCAAATAGATCAGAAAATATTTTATCTAATCACTGGTCATTATTGATTTTATATTCTAAGTTTATTATAACTCGATTATATTTATTCTATTCTTATATTAAAATTTTTCGATATGACATACTCTTATTTAGTTTTTATTATTTATTAGGTACACTTTTTGGAATGAATGCATATTTATTTATTGATTTTCTTTTACTTATAACTTGTATTATTTCTATTTGTATGAGCACATATAAAAAATGGGTATTTTTTTATATTTATTCAAACAAATATGATAATAATGATAATGAATTGACTTATGTTGAAAACAAAAATCAATATTGGAAACTTTTAAAATTAATCGCATATGGATTCACAATAGGAACAATATCAACTTATTTTATGTAAAATTTAATCTAAATATATATTTTCATAAATAATAATCAATGAAAACCAAAAAAAAAATCCATTTAATTGAAGTGCATCTAGTTCTGTAACTTGAAAAGAATATTTTTTTAAGAGTTTGTGTCTTTTATTCCACTTGAATAAGACAAACAAAAAGAGAACAGGTGATTGTTAACTACTCACTATCGGTTGCCGTTGTTTTCTCTTTTCAAACATGTCTATGTTAAATAACAAAAAAAAAACAGCTTTGAATAGTTGCATGTGTGTAGGTGTTGTGTGTTGTATGTATTTAAAAACGTTTTTTTTTTCTTTCGATTTATTTTAAAATAATATATAGATAAAATAAGAGAAGATGGTAGATTGGGCAACACAAAATCGTCTTTATCCAACTGGTTATCGTCCAATTGATATTCGATGTCGACGCACTAGTATTGATTCTTCATTACCATTTTCAATTCCATCAAATAAAAGTAATATTTCTTTTTTTTTTTTTTATTGAGAAACATAAAATTTTCTAAGTAACTATGCTAACTAGAACACAATTGTCGTTTAAAAATCAAACAATCAAAGAAATTGAATAATAATGATACATTGATTGAAAATCTTCGTCAAGGTCTTAATCAAGCATTTGATTTTCATGATAATATATCTGCCGATGATAATGATGATAGGTATAATTATACATTTCATTTAAAGTGGACTATAGAAGTTTAAGACACTTTGTCTTTCTAGTTTTTTTTGTAAAAAGAAAGGAATTATATCATATTAAGTTAGAGTCAAGGTCTATACAAATCATCTATTTATCAAAAAATAGATAATGTTGAAAAATGATTAGTTATAATAATTTAATATTAATAATTGCTAATGAGAGAAATGTTTTTTTTTTTTTATAAATTTTGATCTTCAAGTATTCGATTAGAAAGAATATTGAAAAGTAAGCTTTAAGAAATAGTTCAATTTTTAGAGCAGATTTTATCTTATTAAACGAGGTTTTGCACTCTTCAGTGCATTAAGCTCATTATTATCCGATAGAACTCTTTTATCTTCGATCATTAATATCAAAACTGGTTTTTCAGTTATTTTTCGTTTGATGCCTACCTTCATATTAATATAGTGCTATATTTGATGATGAATACATTATAGAGAAGAGTAAAAGATCTTGTTTGATCAAATAAAGTTTGCTCTAAAAAATGAAATATTTTTTAAAATTCTAAATTTAATGGTCAGAGCTGTTTTCTTAATTATTAATAGAATATTCATTAAATTTTATTTAGTCTTTCAAAAAAGATCTTTCTAATCAAAATTTATAAAAAGAAACACATTTCTCTCATTAGCAGTTATTCATATTTAATAATTTTTCAAGATTATTTATTTTTTGATAATAATATAATCGTTAAAAACATTACAAATATCTAAAATTTTTGTGGTCCACTTTAGTTTGATAAGTTTTTGAATATGAATTTAAAATAGAAATCCAAAATTACTTGCTACTTATGCATCAAATATAAATTGGCCTCGTTCGGTATGCTGTTTATCAAAAAGTGATGGTTCTTTAATTGTATGTGAACAAGATCGATGTCGTCTTGTTCTTTTTACTTCTCAATTGATGCTTCGTTCAACATGTGGTGGAAAACGAGGCAATAATCTTTATGAATTTGATTCACCATGGAGTATTGCTTCATTTTTTGATAAATCATCATCATCAAATATATTAGTAGCTGATACAAATAATCGACGTGTACAACATTTTTTAATTGAATATAATGGAAAATTTTTATATAAACAAACATTTATAACAAAAGAAAAACCTTTTTTTGTTGGAACAAGTAATCAACATTTTGCAATATCATGTGAAAAAGGTTTTATTATAACATTTTTAATTAAAAGAAAAATTGAAATAGCAAAAATTGATTTAAATAAAACATCAATAATACAAAGTAAAATACTAAACTAATATAGATTAATCAAATGTCTTTCGATTTTAGGTTCAATTCAAAATGCTTTACCATTTTGTATGGATCCGGAAAATAGTTTTATTTTTTTGAGTAATTCAGCTTCATCAATTAGTATTATTCATCAATTAACAATAACTGGTGAATATCTTCGTTCTATTAAACTTGATCATTATCCATTTCTTCGTATATCTTATCTTATATTTGATAATTATGATCAACAATTAATTATTGTTGATTCATTTAATTCTATTATTTATTCTCTTGAACATGATTTAGATGAAGATAATGTTGAACTCTTATTAAAACGTTCTGACAATTTAAATAGTCCACAAGCATTATGTGTTAGTAATGAAGGTCATTTAATTGTTGTTGAATGTAGTGTAACAACACAACATACTCTCAAAGTATTTCGATATCATCCATGTTCATGTCATTCTCGTGTAGCAACATCTAGTGTCAAAACAAGTGAAACAACAAGTGTTCGATCATTTCTTTTTCCATATTAGACAATATTTATTAGTGACTAGAAAGAATAAGTTTTGAAATACATTCTTGTTAGGATATATTGGCAGAGGTTTTTTTTTAAAAAGTTTTCATTTTTACTTATATAAATTCCTAATTATAAATATTATTTATTTAAAGTAACATTTTAGAAATATAAGTTGAAGAAATAAATGATTTTAAAAAGTTCTTTTGATTAAATATTCATAATTTATTAGTTCATACATTTAAAAATAAATCGATGATCTAATCAATACTAAGACTAGCTTTGAATACAATGGACTTCTGAATATTTTCGAGATCATAGCTTCATTGATAAAAAAAAAAGTTAAATCTAAATAATTCTTTTATCGTAAGTCATTCTAATAACACTAACTCAAAGTTCAATATAGAAACAAATCATTCAGATAGCCTCATAGTCATGGAACTCTAATACTCAAATTTAATTTAATAGAAATTTTTGTCGATGAAAAAATACATAAAATATTATTGGATTCTATCCATGTAAACAATTTCTTCCCAACGAATTTTCCTATCAATGATAAAACCAGTGGTAATTTAAAGTGTGGATGTGCCTACGCATGAAGAAAAGACCCTCATCTATACATAGTCCATTCATTTTTATTTTCATGTTACAAAGACAATCGGATGATGTGTTCATGCTCGAGAAAAAAAATTTATAACATGCATAGTAACAATGATGTCTAAATAATGACCTCTATTAATCGCTGCCTATTAAAAAGAAAAGGAAAGCACTCTTTTAGAGTACTTCATAAATTGCAGTTCATTAAAAAGAAATAGTGAAATTACATATTTAACGAATTCTTTGAATTGCAAATAGTTTAAAGTAAAACTGAATATAGAAATTTTCTTGAAGTTATACTGAGTAAGGTTTCAAAGCTAACAAGAAAACGAAAATTTCAAACTTTAGATTGTCTGTTTATTTGAATAATTTAAATTTTAAAAAGATCATTGATATTTAATCAAAAAAAAATTAATTTTTGCTTTTATTTTCACTAATAAGAAAATAGAGTAGTGACAAGTCAATTTAAGCAGAATCCCTCGATGTTTGATGAATGCAACCAATTATCTATCACTACGGTCGACTTAGCTGCGCACACAATCGAAAGAGAGAACATGTGAAGAACTCTAATTTACCATGAAAATAATTAATCTTAATATAGATTTCTATATGAAGTCTCATTAATTTGTATAGGACATTTATTTTCTCACAAGCAGTGTTCATCAAATGAACATTTATATCATGCTAGACTGAAAGAATAATAAAATTAGAATTGAACCAACACTTTGATTGACTCCCTATAATATGTTATTTGACTAATGAGAAAAAGATCTCTTTTTAGAAATCTTTCAAAGACGAACTGTAAGAATTGTGTCAAAGTCAAGACAACCACCTAGATAACAAGAAATAGTTCTATAATACCAGATGATCTCCACATACAATCATCCAATATATCAAAGTTATATTTATGAGTAGTATGTATATTGCAATAATGGCAAGTTCAATAAAATAAATTATTGAGTTGTTGATAATGTCTATAAAATCATGAGTTTGTTTGTGTAAGATTTTTGTTTGTTCGGAAGCAATCGAGGTATCTCATTACATATGGCTAATTTAGTAATTTCTTAAGTCGTTACAAAATTCTGAAGAATTTTCAATGCATAAAGATGAATCGGAGTCGATCATAAATGGTGGTTATCGATTGAAGAATGTCCAAAGCGTCGACAGCTCGTGCAATATTATTTTGAATATATCAGAGCCACTGATTATAATCTATAATTCTTGATCCTATTTAAACATCAAAACATGCCCTGAGCTACCATCAAACGTAAAAGCAATAGAAAATATAATGATCATGAGTTTCATTCATTTAAAGAGCCTGTACAAATGCGATCTATTTCATTTACAGATGAATTTTATTATCGAAAAAAAACAGAATAGATCGAAGACGAATTTTTACTCGTCGATCAGTTTCTTGAACGAAAAATGAATGTTGAATCACTATTTCAAGCAAGAAATCATACTAAAAATATCACTAAACTTTAATTACTTTGCTAAATAGCATTGACAATGACAAATCAACATATTGCATCGTTACTCTTGTTACTAGTATTCGTACAATGATACTATCGATGACGTCAAGTTTTTTAGTTGATATTCATCAATAAAGTGCTTGTTTAGCTTAGAGCGATAGTTTTCACATTACTCAATTGCAAAAAATCGAGGTATATATTATTTTCTCCTTTCGCTTGTGGCATTTTTCTACTATGACAGATCATATTTAAGTAAATCACTGTCAGAAACATAAATTCAAAACACTTGCTAGAGCTTGCTATCTTGGCCATACTTTCAAGTCTGTTTAAAAATCAACATTGAAACAGCGCATTGCCAAAATACAAACTGGTTGCTTACGTAGATTTATACGGTAGATTATTGAGTGAAAACAACACCGTCATTGTTCCTATTACGAAATCATATTTCTCACTACTTTGTCATGTTTCAGATTCAAATCATGTCAAATAGGT